AAGAACCAAAGCTGACCTCTAACCTAGACCTGACACAACTGCTTGTCTTGGAGCTTGGTATACACGAGACTGGATTCTTCAAACTAGTCTGGCAGGTAAATTCTTGTGTAGATTTATCACCTTCTCTCTTTCTATTTTCGACCCTAGATATATAGATAGATATAAAAAATATAATATATATAATAGGTTTTATTTAGATTGAATCCGAACAGGACTTGGTGGCTACAACCATTAAGGCTTGATTCATAAGAATTCCAACAAAATAATTCGAACGGGACTTGTTGGCGGAAATCATCAAGGTTTGATTCATATGAATTCTTCAATATAGGTCAAAAAGAAGTGAACACGACGTAATGGCTACCACCATTAAGGTTTGATTCATGGAAGCCTGTCCAATCTTAGTCAATGATTTTGCAATAAAAGCAGATCTTGACTGAGAGAGAAATAAGTAGAGAGAGAAATAAGTAGAGAGAGAAGATATGAACTAACTTTTACCTACAGATCCAGATACTTGTTTGAAAATATTTGCATCATGTGATCGATACTCCCAAGGTAAATACTGCACTTCTATTTTATGCTAAGAAATGAGGTTGGTAGAGGGGAATGTTATATAGAATTTGCTAGGTTGTTAAATAATTGAATTTGGTTGCTAGACTAGGATATGCTATAATGTGCTCCTAGAATTGAGATATCTTAAATGTGGTTTGTAATATTGTAGAGGTAGTGATTTTTGAGTTTTAAAATTTTATGATTCTCCGCCGTTTTCAAACCTCTTTTAGGGAGACTGTATGTTTGTTTTGCTTGAGGACAAGTAAAAAGGTAAGTCTTGGGAGTTGATATGCCATGGATTTTACCTTTTTCAGCAATGGTATATAAGTGTTTTATTATCTAATTATTATATTTTAAAGTCTATATACCATATTTATAGGTTCATGAGTGATTTGGAAGAAAGTGATGATTTTGGAGTCGTTTTGGAGACAAGGAGAATTTCACCCGAGCTGGCCATCGAGCAGCTGAGAGGTCGACATTAAGATATCATGATCGATCGATGCACTCCTCGTGACATCGATCGATAGGCATAAAACGAAGAGACACGATTTTGGCTCAGACGGTTTGGAGTCCAAGTCTTCACCAAATTACAATATTACCTCTGTGATGACTGAATAATTAGAACTGATCCTAATTGAACTAAGATTGCTAGAATCATGCGACATCTGATCTAGAAACCTAGTGAATATTATTCAACCCGCACATAAAGCTTACTTCTAGAAGCCAATCGATCGACATTCATATAGAATCTTTAATTGACGTTTGAAAACGTTTGCAAAAGGTGTGTCAATCAATGCTCCTATAGAGTCATGGATCGACACTTTCTATTGGTCAAAAATGTGACAACTGAGATCAATAGATCTAGTCATTGGACGGTCTAAAACGCGACACGCTGCTGGAATGTACTCTAGTTGAGCTCTAACATATCCTCCAACTTAAACTACTATATCTTTGTAATCTTGATCATTACTTGAATAGAAACCCTAAGTCTAGCTACCTTCCAAATATCGTTACAAACATACCTCAAACCAACCGAACAACTACCTTGTTCACAACTGTATTTTCAATTAAATACTTTCAACCTAGCTTAATAACCCCAGTTAGATCTATTGTGTACCCTACCTCCTTGTGGATTCGATCCCTAAGTACTACAATTGAAACTCTTATTTGAGAGAGTAAAGTTCACTACTTAGGATAATTTGAGTGGCATATCAAATTTGGCACCATTGTCGGGGAGCTTTGACCACCATAAGATTTAATCTTAAGTTTAGGTTATTTTCTTTTTATTAAATTTAATTTTTTTTCTAAGAAACTTTTTTCTTCTGTTCTTTCAAGTGACTGCCCAGCAGTACTAGAAGAAACAAGGAAAATATCATTGTTATTCTCAGAAGACCCTGCTAGTTTGGAACTTTCAATCAGCAAAGAGAAACGCTCCACATCGCTCGATAGAAACAAAAGTTCATCGATCGAATCTCGCATTCGACCGTCAACAGAAACCACTCTTTCTTCGATCGATACTCTTCGCCCGACATCAATCGACACATCCTTCCAGACATTGATCGATATTCAACTGAGAGATATGGTTACGACACTGATTCTCAGACAGGTCGAGAATGGGAACCTGCATGACCAGGACAGTCATATGCGTAATGCAGCAGGTCAAAGGATAGATTCTTAGGGGCTGTAATCCCTGAACCAGACAAAGAGTTTCCAGCTATCGAGAGAGGCGATTTCGACCTGAAATCCCCGTACTGCACACTCGTGGGACAGACACCTTACTCTGGGTTATCTCACGAGCATCCTATGGACCATCTGGAGTATTAAAGCTAATGGAGTTCCTGCGGACTATCTTCTATGCAAGCCCTTCAAGTACTCACTTGCTGGAGAAACTTTGCATTGGTTTAAGCAGTTACCACAAGGATCTCTTACATCCTAGGCAGAGATAAAGAATGTGTTCTTACGTAATTTCATTGGTGAGTCACGTGCTGAAGACTTGAAGAGCAAGATTGCTACATTCACACAAGAGCCTACAGAATCTTTCAAGAGTTCCTGGATCAGATTCAAGTCTTTTTAGAGAGATTGTCTACACCATGGATTCAATGAAGTGCAATTGCTCAACATTTTCTACTGAGGCATCGCTTTGCATTACCAGATGGCTCTGGACACAACTAGTCAAGGAAACTTCAACACTAGGAATCCAGAAGAGGTTGTGAGACTAAACCATAAAACCTAAATTCTAAACCCTAAATCTTAAATCTCAGCCCTTAACTCTAAATCCTAATGTCTATATTAATTTATCATTAGGATATAAGGGGATATTTATTTCTTTTGTTAAAACATTAAGCGCTATTTTGGTCATTTTTATTCTTAAGTGCTATATTTGTGACAAAAAAAATTTAGTGCTATACTAGTCATTTTCTAAAATAAAAAAAACACTCTATACTTCTCTATTCACGTTTCACCAAAACACACTATTATATTAATATAATATTTATAAATAGGTATGTATATATATACTGCTAATATTTTATCAAATTAATAATTATCTAACCATATATTAATTGAGAAGTCACTTTAGTGATTTTTTCTTATATGTCACTTATAAGTGAAGTTAGAAACAATTCTTTTAATTGAATTGGTTGTTGATAATTGAGTTTTCATTTATTTAAATCAAATTTAAGAAAAAAAATCATAGAAATACCTAATCTAATATATGTTATCAAATAAATAATCAAACATCTTAAATTTAAATGAACTAATATATTTTTTTTGTTGAAATAATTAATTATCATGGATTATTTATATAAATTTATAATATAAATATAAATATAAATACAGATGATACTATATAAAAACTTACAGAAACTATTTTTAAAATATTATATATATAGTGCATACAATATGTCATAGATTGCAGAAAACTAATAAAAATAAACCTAATAATATTTCTACTCATTATATATTTTACATATATTATAAATCATTGTAACTGACAAAGTGATATTATGGTTGGATTATCATTTTTATAAATGATTAGAGTATTTTCTTTATATTTAAAAATATTATATTTTCATTTTACTATATATTAATTGAGAAATCACTTAAGTGTTTTTATTGAAGTGTCAATAATAAGATAACTCTTCAATTAATTATTTAAATTTGATTGGTTAGTGAATTTTTTATTTAACTTTAGTTATTTAATTCTTTTTAAAATAATACAGTAAGAACTAATGCATATCAATAACCAAACACATAATACTTACCAAAAATAACTATCACAAATAAGCATTTAATGAAATTGTGTCATCAATTCTCAGATTTGTAAATAAAATATCTTGTGCATTTAGTTAATAAATATTTTATAAATAATAATAAAAATATTATTAGTGGTTAGTAATTTTACTACGTATGTATTATATAGATAATAATATATGAAATTATGTATGGTATAATTTAATATAAAAATAAATTTAATTTTAGATAAACAGCATATTTAAGATTTTCATTTAAAAATCTGATAAATCATTTCTCATTTTAAATGAATTGTTTAAAAAAGATTTAAAAATATCCTTGTATGTATATAAATGTATAACTAAAAATTAAAATACAATTTTTAATAATTTGCCTATTGCATCGAAAATAATATACAAAATATGTATATATAAAGTAAATTTTAAATGTATTCTACATATCAAAAAATAAATTGAAATTACATCTTAATCAATAACCCCGTAACAAATATATCGACTGTAAAATGGATAAATAACTGTATACATATTTAAAAACAATTTGTTTAAGAAACTTTGTAAAAACTTTCTTTTGCATCTTATAGAGATAATTAAAAATAAAATAAATTAATAGCTAACATAATAAACATTCATTTTTTACTTACAAAACTATATCAATAAGAATTGTGTATCTAACTATTTTCATTTCACATAATTTTTTAATTAAAAATTGTTCATAATGTTTTTAAAATTTCTATTAGATGCATATTATAATATAAAACTTTATATTATCTATTAAATATGAATACTATTACTATGAATACATATTGATGTATAAATTAAGAGAAACTAAATCTTAAATAAAAATATTATTAGAAATTTATTAAACTGATGTGCATCCACATATATATAGTTTTGTTTCTTTTTCATAATCTTTGTATATATTTTAGTTTTTAGTATAGATTTATTTATCACATCATTTCTATTAGTAGATTTTAATAAACTTTAAATGAAAATCTTGATCTACAAACCAATTAATAAGTATATACATACATATATATGATTTGGATGTGAAAGGTAAAAAAAAATTATATTCTTAATGTATTATAATCCTAATCAGTCATATATATATAGTTACTGACAAAAAAATAATGAAATAATAAAAATACCATTTATACTTTTTAAAGTAATCAAATAACCAACTTAAATAAATTTTTAAAATCTGTTTAATTAAAAAATATTTATCAAATATTCCCATTTAAGTTGAAAAGCTAAAAATATATTATAAAATGTCAAAAATATAACAATACTACATAATATTTAAAATTATTTGTACCCGTAAATTTGTGAACAACCACCTTGTTATATAATGAATATCAAATTTTTAATAATCCTTTTAATATATTAAGTAACTTTCTTTACTGAATATATTAAGTAACTTACCCGTGAGTTATCTTTTTTTTTCGACAACTTACCCCGTGAATAAGCTACAGAAATGATGTCTGGATAAATATAACTAATCAATTGTTTGATACATCTCTTAAGCCTCATGTTTCTAACATTTTTTTTTTTTTTTTTTTGGTAAAATGTATCTAACATTTTCTTCGTATTTGAGTCTCTTTACCTCTGCCAAAAAATTGTAGAGATGCCTGCAAGAGTAGTTACGTTTTGTGAATCTCGTTCTTTTTTCTTCAGGTAAATAGCGGACCATGACTACCATTGATCTCCTTATCATCAGTTACACGCCCAACCCCCCTAATTCGAGTTCCGCTTGCTCAATCCTTCTCTTAGGTTCTGTAATATTCGGAGAGCAGAGCTAAAGTTGGTCAGAGAGAAAACATATAACATGGTTGCTTTAGTGGCAAAAGAATACTTTTGTTAGTAATTTTTCGGCGTGTGCAAGCCAAAAACCCTTCCCAGCTTTGTTGTTTGAGCTCTCGTTTATCCTCTTCCGAGAGCTCAAAGTTTGGTTCCCTTCCACACATGAAAGCAGCCCTAATAGAGTTAACCGTTGTCAATGGAAGTGATATATAGTTGAATCAAACACTAAAGAATCTGATTTTATGTAAAAGAATTACTTTACCTATCGTATAAACGAGCAGCCTCTTCTTGAGAAGAGAAAGTTCCCAAGTGGATCTGTCGCTTCTCAACTTTAATGGCTGCTTGCCATTTCATGTTCTTGTAATAGACTCCTCTCATCAAACATGGTTCTTTGTTTTTTACTTGCTTTCTTCTATGCCGTTTTCTGCGTTTCAGCGGCTGGTCTGTAAACGGGGGATAAAAAAAGGTGGAATAATTAGCCAATTCTTTACTCATCTCAGACATTACAAGTATCATTGTGAGAAAGCAGACCTGAATCACATATGTCTTGCTCCATTTTCGGAGAGATGGAACTAGAATCATCCGGTGAAACAGCTGAGAAATCAGACCTGAATTGCATACTATATTTGGACGGAGTTCTTTGCCTCTGGGATCGTGACCCTTCTTCAATAAGCGTTTTCTGCCAAACCACAACAAGTAAGGTCTCAATATATGCTCGTCACTGAAAGGAATACTTAAATCCAAACGGATGACTTCATGATTTTGATATATGAAAACTGAGCGACCATACCACATTCATTCATTTCTTACCGATCATAAATCACAAATGAAAATATCAAAATTTCATTATAATAGTTGGACCTATAACCACTTTGCCTGAATAGCTGAAGAATTGATCTTAACGGTTGAAATTAACTTAAGAAAATGCTCTTTCACTTGCTCTTCCCCATTCACATACAATTAGCAAAAGCATAAAGTCTTCATTTCTCATTACCTCCTCCTTATGCCCGCTACAACAAGCTGCTACCCCATTAGGAATTGGATTTGGAATCCCAGTGATCATCTCCTCAGCAGTTAGAAAAGGAAGCGGTGTCACATAACCATTTGGTCCTACAACGATCAAAATCAAGTTGGTAAGCATTGCACAATGTTAATGTTAGACAATATAGCATAGTCAACAACATATTTTACCACAACAAAGTCCCAGTAGCCTGCGCCTTCTTAAGCTCACCATTATTTAACTTTTGAAGTTGTTTACTTCTCTGCTATAAATCACAGCAAAACACTGATCAAGCTCACAGAAACATAATTCCATAGAGGGAATGCTTGCAACCTTAAAATAAACCATAGAAGCATAGAAACTAAACAAAACACTGATCAGCGCAAGAAACTGCTCAAACAAAGATAGATCCAAAGAAGAACGCAAAACAAGTCATTAACAAATATGAGGGATGAATTTACTAAGATTTCCACAAATGTAAAAAGTTAACAACTAGATCCAAAAGTCAAGAAAACCAATAACAATAGAATGCTAGCCTTTTGAATCTGTGTTTTGATTGAATTATAATGGCCGAAGACTTTTTATCCAAATGAAGTCAACCCCTCAATGAGAAACCAAACCCACCACCACCACCACCTTTTTCATGGATTCACAAATAGCAATACAAAGCAGCGAAAAGAAAAAGCATCACGAAGACCCAATCTCAGAAGAGCACAAACACAAGGAGCCAATTTTTCAGGATTAGTCTCTGCAGAAACAGTCAACCACAAAACTAAAACATACCCATGGTAACAAAACTCATAAGAAGCAAATCCATTGCATCAAAATCAAAGCTTTAGTGAAAATAAATGGTTAAGGGGTAAAATCGGAGAAGCTTTTCTTCAGAAGAACGGAAATTTTGAGCCAAAAAAGAGAACAATTCAGGAGTAGAACGACTGAATTACCTTTAAGAAGAAGGTGGTAAGTGACAAGAAGGTCTTATATAGTTCTGGATATACTTGTAGAGAAGAAACAAAAGAAAAAAAAAGGAGAAACGTTCAATGAGTTTTGAGTTGTGGTGGTGTTTGAGGCTCATGCATCTACCACCTTTGGCCTCCTTTTTATTTGGTTGGTTAGCGCTGGGAGAAGAGGAAGGAAAATTAAATATATTTGACAAAACTCTTTTAAATATTAAATGTTTATTATTATGTAGGGACAGATAAATGAAGGAAATAACAAAAGAAATAATAGAAGATAAATTATAAAATTAAAGCCCATGAGGTTGGAAAAAGTTGAATCCAGGGATGGAACGTGTGATTCTTCTCATATATTTTTTGGTTTCTCTTCCCACTTTTGCGCGTTCCAACCATGCCCTTTCCCTTCCATCTCTTTTTTGTTTGCTATGAATATTAGTATCAAATTAATATTGATAAAAAAAAGAAAAAATTGGCAAATATGACTTACAACTTGATTTCAATTGCAAAAATAAATTTAAATTTGAATCAAATACAAAAGTAACTTAAAAGTCTATTGAAATTACAATCAGCCACTTGTGAACAAACAAAAACACCAATTTATTTTACGTTTCTAACCTCTGTAAGTCGTCTACTATAGTTCTTCTTAAAAATAATTTAAAAATTTTGTAAAAAAGTTTGGATAAGTGAAAAATTGAAATCTTGTAATTAACATATGTTTTAAGAGATATAAATTAAGATATAACAAAATTTAATTGTTTTCAATGTAGATGAGTGAAAGTAGTGAGTCATGATATTCTTTGGTTTAGGTTTTGCCAAAATATTTTTTCAAAATATTTAAAATGACGATTTTGAAAAGCATAATTTTTTTTTCAAAATATTTAAAATTTACCTAAGTGTGTTTATTTCTGTCTATAGTAAACACTATTTAAGTATAATTTGATTTTATAACGTGGTTAGTTAGTTAATTTTATTAATTTAGTTTAGGGTTTAGGGTCTGGACGACTTACTATTAAGTCGTCTGGTGAATATATTTACGGTAGATGACTCACTAGTAAGTCGTCTGATGTATAGTATTCAACAGTGACTTACTAGTAAGTCGTCCAAACCGGACAGAACATTTAATTTTACCACGGTACTTTTTAAACATAATCGGATTATTTAACGGGCATATATAAGATGTTTGTTTTATTCACTTTTTTCGTGAAATTCAGAAAACCCTAACGCTATTTCTCTCAAAGGCGATTTCGAAGGCGATTTTCGTCGATTCTCTCTAATCCATCATTCTCACCGCCGGTTATCTCTTCGCCGTTATCACTGTCGTTCTGACCACTGTTCTCACCGCCGATTCCTCTATTTCAGTTCTGAGAGGAAACTGTAGCACCGTTTATCTGCAAACCCTAGTGATGTTTCGCGTCTCGTCCGCACCGCCGGTTCTTTGTAAACCCTAGCGCCATTTCTCTCAGAGGCGTTTCATTGAACTCCGCCGCCGGTAAGTTATATATCTTACTGTCGAGTGATTGATTGAGAAAAGATGAACATAAAACTTTGTCTCTAACAGTTTTTGACTTAAGGTGTATCTATATTCGTTCTCACCGCACTTTTTTCACGTCTATTTTTGCAGATCTATAACCGTTGTGTCAAAGGTGACAATATCTTCTCCGAATTTCGAGGTCGGCTTTAAAATGTTCTACTGGAAGTCTTGGAAGACTTATAATTAAGTCGTCTGGAAAGTTTTCCAGACTTATAATTAAAATGTTATATTGGATGGTTGCGTGTTTGATATGGTTGTTGGTACGGCCTTGGTATGGCTTTGCATCCTAGATCACTTGAAGGTGGATGGAATGATGGTTGATCCGAGGCTGCAAACACTCAGATTAGATGATGGAAATTCTCTCTGGATCTATGGCACATATCGCGGTCGGAGATGTCGGTTATCGACGGGCTTGCCTCGAATGGTCACGAGTTGAAGGATTGGTTCTTTTACGTCAAGATTGACAATGCATCGGTGGAGGAAAGTCGCATTCCTTCATTCAGGACCGAATGGGCGACAAAAGATACTTAGATTGCGTTTTATTATTATTATTATTATTTTTGGTTTCCGCGTTCTAATATTTGTGTATGATTCGTGTTTTGTAGCGTCTACCCCCCTTATGTGGTTACTTCAAGACCTCGAGTCGATTATGAGCCTTCTTCACGGCGGTCCGCTTTATTGGGGACAGTTTTCTCAAAAGAGAGTTTGTCGCGCCGTCGCCTATTACTCTTCTGGTTTTTCCCAGAATGATCACGTCGAGATTGAGGTGGACGACGATGAGGAAGCGAGGGAGAGGTCTAGAACCCTGCAGGAGAGAGATGTTCTGATTGGTCAAGACCGATGGTTTGACGAGGACATTAATATTGAGGATTATATTAACTTCTCGACTCCCTCGTCCAAGTTCGAGCCGGCCGAGACATCGTCCAAGATACCAGCTGATACGCCTATTGCGAAGGCGTCAAGACTTTTCAACAAGGTCTGTTGTTCTTTACTGATTTCTGTATTTGTTTTATGTGTGACCGGATTTCTGATAAAAGGATTTCTCTTATTTTGCAGGGTCTTCGCTTTATGAGCGAAGCAGTAAGCGCAAGGGATACGGAGATTCGTAAGGCTGAATCTAGGGCTAAGGCGGCGGAGACGGAGGCTGCTCGTCTCAAAGAAGAGATTGATGCCAACTTCTCTCACGCCCAAGATTTAGCTAAAAGGGAGGCTGCCCGTGTGAGGGAGGAGTACGAGGCTGATTCTCATCGTGTCCTCGAGCTTTCCGACGCGAGAGTTCGTCGCACCCATAGAGCAAGCAAGAGAGAATTTTCTGCGGAGATGGCAGCTCGTCGTGAACGGTTTGCGACTCTTTATGCGGAGTTTGAGGATACGCAAAGGGCCAATGGTGATTACCACGAATGCCGTGGCGTCGTTGGCGGTTTACATCTCACACAGCATGCAAACTATTCGTATGAGGTGGAGTTTGCCAAGCAGAAAGCGCGCTTGGCTAAACGAGAGAAGAAGAAGGCCGAGTTTCTCAATCCTGAGGAGCAAATGTGGGATCAGTGGAACCCTATTGTAGTGTCGCCAGATTTAGTTGAAGTTAGGCCAGAGATCCCAGATGCGAGCGGCGAAGTCGATCAGCCGTGGATTGATGCTAATGCTGGCCAAAGCTCGGCGTCTGGGTTTGGTAAATTTGATGTATGATGTCTTTGTTTTATGATATTGTTTGTTATGTTTATCGGGACTGGTCGTTAGTGGCTTTGAAACCCTGCCCCTAGGTGGCGTCTATCGAATGAAAATATTAATAAAAATATTTTCAAAGTATGAAATCTTTGTTTCGTTTTAGATGTAGAAGAAAGAGTACGAGTTGTCTCGCATCTAACTCTTGGTGTAGATCGTCCGGTTTGTTTACTCGGAGTGTTTTCGTTTTTCGCTAGTGTTTAGATGTGGGCGAAGAGACATGCCTTTAGGATCTCAATTCATGCCTTGAGACGTTATAGACCAGCGTGATGGATTTAAAGCAAGACCTAGGTTTACTTTCGGATTGAGGCTATGCGATGACTAGTCGGCTTTCGTTTTACCTGTTGCGATTTTAACCTGATTCCATACTGATTTAGAAACCGCGATAGGTTCTCGGCTTATACGATTCGTCTGGTTGGAATCGAGCATCTCACCGAGGAAAAATTTTAAGTCTCCCGGAAGTGCTGACCAAAAATTTGGATTTCTTTTATAGCGCGTTATATTATCCTAGTTAGATGTATGCTGACCAATGGGTCTATGCGTTTGTTTAGGACGGCTAGCGTGCTCGACGGGGCCAATCGTCGAGCGTTTGTGATTTTATAGTCGCAGAGGGACTTTTGCGAAATATTTCTCTAAGACTTTAGGCGACGTCTCGCCGGTTTTTTCGAAAATATTTGGTGTATAAGTTTTTTGTCGAAATGATCAAGTAGTTGTTAATGCAGAAGTAATTTCTGGATGTTTGGAATTTGTTTTTAAGCTTTTCGATAGTAGAGAGATTTTATAATATTCTAACTTTGTCTTTATTAGAAAGTTTTGAAAATTTTGATTACAAAGCGAATATTTTTAAAATTTGGGTGTTTACGAATACTCGTATACGCATTCCAAACATATAGAAATTACTTCCGCAGTAACAACTACTTGATTATTTCGACAAAAAACTTATACACCAAATATTTTCGAAAAGAACCGCGAGACGTCACCTAAAGTCTTAGAGAAATATTTCACAAAAGTCCCCCCCCCCTGTTTTGGAAAGGGGGATAGCTGAACTCGTCTTTAGGCGAGCTGCCTACGTATTCCTTTCGGAAATCAAGCCATCTCGTAGTTCTGATTGTTGATGCGAGTGTGTTTACTCGGCTGTCGCAGGCTTCTCGATCACTTTAGTCGCTGGATCGGCGACTTGATCCGGGTTTGTCTCCTCCGGTTGGGTAGGAGTGATGGGTTTGGAGGCTTGCTACTTCTCGACCGTTGCTGTTTTGGATTTGTTTTCCACGGGTGGCGGTGTGAACTTCGTCCGTTTCGATTTCACGATTACGAACGCCAATTGCCTTAGCTTATGTTCAGCTAAAAAGCAAGTTCTCGACTGTCTCTGGCATCACCAAATTGCCGCGACTCCCGTAGGGGTCGGAAACTTGGTGCCTAAGTGGTATGTCGATAGAACCGCCTTCATGGAGTTTATCCAACGCGTGCCCATTATCACGTTGTAGATAGCTGGGGAATCGACGAATGCAAAGTTTACGATTTTCGTCACTTCTTTCGTGGCTCAGACAGTCTTGAAACGCGATAAAAGCCCACTTGCGACTTTAAACAAAGTCCAGCCTAACGATACAATGAAGGTTTAACGATTTACTCGTAGAAAGAAGATAAATGTCAAGTTTGAAGATAAATGTCAAGTTTGAAGATAAATAGAAGATTTCCGCAAGGAAAATGGAAAGATCGAGATAAATGGAAGATTCCCGATAAACTCGAATCTGGGCAAAACGAGTAAAGCTCATAAGGAGAGAGTATATAAGCAGAAGGCCAAGGACAGAGCACAGGGACAATTCTTCAGAGCTCTCACCACCAAACTTAGCATTAGGAAACTTTTCGTTTTTTGTTATCGAGCTGC